TTTGAGTAGCATGGGAAAAAACTGATTTACATGGGTGAGAAGTAGATTCAGCAGAGATCCAAGGAGCTTCAAAGAGAACTCACCTCTTGCGGCCGAAAATCGAACGATCCAGGACCCAAACACACGACGACTAGCCTTCAGACCCCTGCTGTGCAAGGTCTCATTATGAACTAAGAGAAAAAGAACCAACAAACGGAAACCACAGACATGCAGAATTGAACTTAGACACCCTGGATAGCATGCCAGGGCATTGATTTGATTCCTTGGCCTACTTCTTTCCCCATACATCCATGTACCACCACCAGGAGTACTTGCAGTCTCTGTGGGGAATTGTGATAGATACTGACATGGCCGTCTGCCTTGTTCTTCCCATGAATGATTTGTTCAGCAAACTAGACATCTGTTGATGCTTTAATTGGAGCAACAACAACTGCAGTGCGGCCTTAACCAAACGTCAAAAGCTGGTGTGTGTCTTTCGGACTCCGGACTGTTGTTTTTGTGTAGCAAACAAAAAGGACATGATAGACAAGTTCCACGAGAAACATTCAGCGCCCTGAAGGAGTCTGTCGAAAGTGTGGAACATGGAAACACTATGAAACACTATATAGTAAATTTATTGATGGATGTTCCCTTCTCCATGCCCTGTGGTCGTGATGATGATGACGACAACCATTTGGGGAACAATTAATATCAAACGCGGCAGTAACGAACAAATATGGACCTGTTGGCAAACCACAAATAGAAGGGAGCAAGGCTACCTCACTCAGTAGCACTGATGGGCAAAACTATATAAACTCCCGCACCTTCTCTGGAATCGAGTTCATGCAAATACTAATCCATGAAGAGATTCGCATGCTTTCCGTGGCTCCTACAGATTGAGTCCATCAACAGTATAGCCGTATAGCGATTACTAGTGCTCGCTCTCAACAGCTCAGAGAAGGGGAGGCCACTGAGGAGAGATCCCTTGTCGAACACCCTTCAAAATGCCTGGCCCACAGCCAGATACAGCCAAGCTTCTATCAAAGACTGCTACACGGCCCCCATCCAATGCATCCATCCAATGGATGTTCTCAGTCTCTGTGGTACGTCATAAGAATCATAGGAGTCTTTCTTGGGAGACTGTATTCAAGCAGGGTGAATATTGAGGAACCTGGACACCTAGATGTTTTGAACCCGGAAGGAGGCTACCTGTGTGGTTTGTGTGGTCCCTCCATGAAGAAATACACGGTTTCGTGGAGTCCACCCCGGTTTGTAGAGGGCCATGGCCATCCACGTCACCATAAATTGTTGGAGAGTGAGGTGCCTGGTGGTATTAGGGGTACCACACAAATCCTAGTCCTTCACCTAACTTGTGTAATCAATTGATAACCGTTCTTGAGCTATGTGTATCGGGCAGTTCCTGAAAGACCAGGAACTGCCTTCCAAACGGCCCATTCCGCGGTTCGGGGTCACACTTTCCAACCCGGAATGCTTCAGCGTAGTGTCCAGGACCAGTTCTGGATGTTCAGGGCTGACATCATCTCTCAAACGTATGACCATGACTGTTAAAATGTAGACGCGTGACTCATGTAATAATATACCCCACATTCGGATTAAAACACCTCTTCGCAAGGGGGGTTTACCAATCAAGAGTCTAGAGTCTAGATTGATCTAGATTATATCATTGACTCGTTCACATGGAACTGCTGCAGGACCGCCGAAATCTGCGAGTTACGCCTTCAGGCGGAACTGTCGACCGGAAACCAAACATCTGACCATGACACAAGTGCACCAAAGGCACAAACGACCTGGATACTCTACTATTGTCAGGTGTAAAGTGAATGGAAGAGTATGATGGACAACCCACCGACAGGTGCAACTTGAACCATCTTAAAAACAAAAAACAAGACATGAGGCAACACTTGTAGGCAACCTTGGATCTGTCACTCTTTTTGGGCGCCATGATGTGCCATGTGACTCTTGTTCCGACTCGCCATGTTGTGACTGCATGAGGCTCGATTCTGACTGCATGTGTGTGTGTGTGTGCGTGTTCCTGTTCCTTTTTGAATATATGCATGTTTGGCCTCCAGTGTAACAAGTTTGCGCAGGTGCAAATAATGGTATATAATTGCTGTCAATGCAATCGGGTTCAGGCTCTTGTGATGCAAAAATACATTGTATTTCAGCACATGAACACACCCAGGGAAACACCACCGGAACACAAGCAACTTGCATGCAATGAAGATTCGCGGGGATTCCGCGATATCCTCTATCCCCTAGGGGTCCAACAAACTCCTGAGAAGATGGTTGGGGTGGGTTTGGGGGTTCTAATCACCTTCTGAGGATATGGTTGGAGCCCTAGGGATTATTAACATATTCATACCTGTATTCATCCGGGTTAACCACCCCAATCTATGCAAATCTTCCGTGCATGGAGTGCGTCGTGCCTGGGATAGGACTAGCCAACCACACCATTGATTGGGTGGCATTGGGTGGCAAAGGCGCATGGCTTCTGAGCGCAAGGGCAATCCCAAAACCCACTGGTGAAGAGAACACACATTTGGATTTGACTGAGGAACCGGGGGAAGGGTAAACACGAAAAATAACTCATGTTTTTGAAGGGTCCCGTGCTCCACTTCCCAGTCTTGGGGGTCTTACTTTTTGAGCCACTTCCCTCAGGTTGCCGTGCTCCAACTGCCATTGTCCCAATGTAGTTTAATACAGCACGATATACATATAGTAGTAGTGTCCGGGCAGGTCAGGAGTGATAGGTCAGGAGAGGGAAAACCACCATTTTCCTTTGTGTTCAATGCTGCAGTTCCGACCCCAACGGTAGACTTCCCTACCGCGCGCTTAGCTGGACAACTCTCTCAACTGCCAGAGGCCTTTCTTTTGGAGGCTCTCGATTTTAGAGTGCTTGCCAACTCCCGAAACGACTGCCAGTCTATGTGGTTCTGCTAGACCATGTATCCACCTTTTTGGTCCAAACGAGAGACGATGGGCACATGGGAGGTGGCCTCAATGCATTGAATACCTCAAGTTCCTAAATGCAGGGGTCGCTCACGGCGAAAAAAAGGGGCCGGATCTGAATATCATGATAGCACTAAGACATCTGAAGTGAACAAAACCCACCATGCCAAGTCGAGCTGGTTTTGAATACTTGTCCGTTAAAAGTCGACATCTCACAATGATCGGTTCACGCAAGACGGCGGGCAGCCTAGCGCTCCACGATTCAAATTTGAAGTCAGAAGTTGGCAAGCAAAAAAAACACATTCTGGTCGCAGGGGGCTCGAGGGGCGTGTTGAATGAGTGGAGCCAACTACTCTTCGTCTGCAAAGAAGGCGTGTGACAGGTGCTAAGACAATCACCTACGACTGTCATTCCCGCACGTGCTTGATGGGTCTGCACATCTCTCCACATAGCCTGAAGAAAAGATGTTGCATATATATATATATATATATCAATATAAGTGATGTCCTTTTGAGAATAATAGAGGGGTTGATTTAGCAATATATACCATATACCCATTGGTAGCTCACCTGGGAGGTATCCCCTCTGTTCATCAACCAATCAATAGTAGAAGGCCCATCTATAACATATATCATGTTATTCAAGAAGGGTAATCATCTCCTCATGTGAGACATGTGGAGTCATTCTCGTATGTCTATCCGAAAATATCCGAAATATGGCTGACACATCTCATGTCCCAGACACTCCATGGGGTGGTTGACTGGGGGATCAATGTGGGCGGCATATATGGCAGCTTCATGGGTCGTGTCTGCGTGTTTTTCTTGCAAAAAAAAAATGCACCGGTGGGTCCACGTGATGGTTTTCCCAATCTGCGCACCGTGGGAGAACCCTAGATAACGACCGTGGGTTCCACGTGCGTCGTTTTGCATACGGAACCCCAATCCTCCCTGAAACAACGGAAGCCAAGCTGGTTGGGGCATATGTTCCGCTTCCAGCCTGAGGCTGGTGTTTTGGGATCAAGGTCACCAGCTAGATCTCAGTACGTAGTCAGAATTCAGTTCCGGCCATATGTACTCAGCATGCTCATGCGTTAAGAAAAAGACCCCAGTCTGCCCCAGAAAGGTCAAGTCGTCCCACAAGTTCCAATTCTCACAGGACAAGTCGCACGGATGGGCGCGAGTGTTTCGAATGGGAACTCCTCGTGCTCTTCAGTAACCAACCCTGTGGTCGTGGTTCTCCCTTCATCTGACTTCTGGTCATTTGACTCCTGCATCGTTTGCACGACCTGTCCCCCCCGCGGCCGATCTTCGCACTTCAACTTCGACGCGTGCCGCCACGCGTGATGCCAGGTCCTCTTAACGCAATTCAAGAGCTGGATTCTCTGCAAACACTCCAAACACCCGTCAAGGCCCATGACGGCCGTCAATCTCTTCACATTCTGAGTCGAGTTCATGGATTTGGTAGGGGGAAACCAACCCTTTAAACACAAAGAGACATTAAGCACCATTGAGCAAGACGCGAGCAAAACCAAACCTCTGCCAGCAAGATTGACTCGTTTTGGCCAAAGGCTGTATAGAATCCTACAGCCAAGCTCCACATATGCACATCACATGCACATAACAGTCGTCTTTTTTTTTTTCTGAGTCTTTAATAGCGTTGACTCACAAGTCTTCCTGCACCACCCGTATCGGGAATTGACTCCCTGACTCGCCCCTCGTCACGAGAGGGCTGACTCTTCCTGTCCATCTCATCAATGTTGGGGCACGGTCGTGAATCCCAAACGCTCCATGGGTCTTAGGTCTTCTGCTCAGGGTGGTCAGCTCAGGTCTGCCGCGGAGTCCATAGCTCTGAGGGAAAGGTCTTTGCTCTTGTCATGAATAGAGTTGCAAATCCAGCGCCGTGCAAAGGCACGGGGCGACGTGTTGCCCTCAGCCTCCAGTACTTCCACTTAAAATAAGGATGTTGACGATCTTTGATCTTTGAAGCCATATGAAGCATGTGGTACACTCGTGGCGAGATGATCTACCACTTACAGTAGATCCATGAAAATAGTGGCTTTCGATTGCTTTACGATGAGTCCATTCTCTACACATGTTTTCCTTTGTGAATTGACAGATCCACCCCTCCATCCCACGGAATCCGTTTTTGACCTGTGCATGTGTCGGTGACCGGAGGTTGGAGACGCTCAAGGTCGAGGGTGACGACGCGCCGCGGGTTAGGCCGGCTCGAGAGCGCCCGCGCCACTCAGACGCATTTCATCACCTCGTTCTTCTTCCTGCTCAAGCTCCTGCAGCCCAAGGGTAAACGCTTTGACAGAAGGACCCTAGGTCGCTGCACTGATTTGAAAGGTTCTTAAAGGCCCCTTGGCAGCATGGTGGCAGCTGTAGTCTGACCTGGGAAAATGCTTCGACCACCAATTCCCGGCTGAAGTTGGCCCACACGACAGATCACCCCTAAGCGTGAGTGGATATGTATATAGGTACCAGGGGGTACCATGTATGTATATATGGAATAACACATCACACATGAAAAAAGAAGATCTTGGGGGGGCACCATATATATATATATATTTATCAGTACCCAAGCACTGGAACACACACACACACATGTCTTTTTCTTCGGCTGAATAGGATCGAAAACAGGTCTTCAACTTCCCTAAAAGCACAGGAAGTTGTGCAGCGACGGGGGTCCGTATCGATTCATCGCCGTAGATCTATCGATGATCGATAGTTATGTCACATTGAAAAGAGCAACAAGAGCAACACCTCCAACGGAAGAACATCATCATTTCTTGATTCGCCCCCGCTTGAAGACAACTTTTGCAAACCTTTTGTGGAAGGGTCCGTGAGGGGCTTCACTCTGCGCTGGAGAGTCTCAGACCCAATCTTCCTCTTTTCTCCGACGCGTGTCCCTCGCATCGCGCATCATCTCAAGCCCGATCGCGACTCTGAGATTGGAGCTCTGATCACGACTAGCTGATCACGACTAGCCTAACTAGCTGATCCTTTTTCACACGAACGGTTCTTCAATCGAATTCTTCAATCACTGGGAACATTGCGCGAGGTCACAGCATCTTCATCGTGGTCACGGAAGGTCTGGCCGGGAAGGTCATGACGTGTTCAGTAGCCTTTTGCAGCGGCAAGGCACTCCAAAGGCACCAGGCGCTGGAATTTCCAAGAGTTCAGAACTGAATCTCATCAACATCTTGTGTGATCTTGTGTGAACAAAATTGAACAAAAAAGTAATATACAAATGATTCAATCACAAGCACTTTGTACCGGGAATGACCACAACATCCCTGTGAGGCAACCCACTTCAAGAAAGCTGTCCACTGGGAAACAGAACACTGCGCAACATTGGCTTGCGGGTGGATACAGAACATCTATGACCCTGGCTGGGCCATGTTCAATCCTCTACAAGGAAAAGCTGAGTCACAACGTCTGTAAGAGTCGCCCTCAGAGCCATCGAGGGTTGTAGGTGGGCTTTGAGAACACATTGATCCCAAAGTCCAACGCCTCGAACGGCCATCTGCATGCACCTCAGGTTGGCCTTTAGCCAGGGCCTGGCTGAACGGCCTGGCGACTGTGCTGAGACGTCTCTGTATCTGAGCCTCAGGCATACCGCTCTGGGAGGAACACCAATTCGTTTGAACTGCTTCGCTGGCTGGTGGTTCGCTGGCTGGTACAGGAGTTCAAGATCTTCCCAGTCCCATAAAGAAAGAGCCCTCCCGCCATTGCATGTATGCTTAGCAGAAAGTCATGTAGAACGTGGTTTAAGAACAGCTAGTCAGCTAGTATGACAAGGATCGAGCTAATTTAGGTAAGACACTTCGTACATATACCGCCGGTGTACATGCAAACATAATTACTGTATATCCTATAGACTGACATGTGTTGATATATGGCTGGAGAAGCATTCTACAATGCATTCTACGTAAGATTTCAGGACTCAGCAATCTGGTGGAACCATCTTCATCCCCAACCTGAGCCATGCACCAAACAAATACCGCTCCAATCTCTGCTTCTGCGCAGCGCACATTCGCAGCGCAGCTGCGTGCAGCGCATGGGTGTCGCAAAGGGCTCCACATGGATCTATGGTCCCAAATGGTTCAAAGTAAGACTGACTTCCAACAAATGGCGCCTCGCCGCAACGCCAGCAGTGAGAAGTGGCACCTAGTCTATCATGTCTTTTGGAAACATGACTGGGGGGTGATGCTCTAACCCAGCCGCTGAAGGCATGAATTAAATATAGGCCGGCCTAGTACTGTTTAAGAAACACCTTGGTTGCAAAAGTAAGGGGCTAGCGGTTCTTTTACGGTATCGGTATACTACAAGTACTGTAGTATTTACCCACTATTGAATCGCTGTATCCATAAGAGAATGACAAACTCAGCTTATCTCAGCCAGAAGAGAAAATACGGAGGAATTGTCATGGTTAACGATGCGATCAAACAGCCTTGTCTTGTCAAAATCTTCAAAAGTTTTGGACCTCATGTTGAGCCAACAACACTTCAAGCCTGAAAGCCGCCCTGGCCATGTGGTTCCACTGTGTTTTTTACAAACCGCCCTTTTTAAGAACATGAAGGACCATGTCCGTCTTCGACTCCAAACAACGTTTCAATCACGATCGTGTTTGACCCGCAGGTGTTTGGCCTGTAATTAGAAAGGCTGGTCCAGTCAAACACCTGTTCTTCTTCTTTCGGCCTCGCATCATCCGCTCAGCCAGAAGGTTTTTCTCACCCTCTGCGCCAGGGAAGGAGCTCGCTCACACGGGGAGCTCACTCACTTGGACGCCTCCAGGGCCTTCCAGGCCACATAGACGACCAAGGTCAAGTAGACGAAACAAATCGAGCAGGTCACTCCGAGATTTTCGCCTGGTCAAACGGCCGTGGTCGAGGGTCTACCGCTGCTGTCAACAAGATTAGCAAGAGGGTTCGTGTTGGGTGTATCCCATTCTGTAACAGCGGATGATGATGGTTAGTAGCAGGCCCAAGTGGAGCAAACCTACTGAAATTGGGACTTACCTCATCCACCAAATGTGATAAACGACGATTTACGGCCACTAGCATCACCGTCGATGTAAGTAAACCCTTTGAGGTATGAAGAACGTCCAAAGAAACACACCAAGAACACGATGCTCGCGCTGCCCTTGTGAGAAACTGATCCTCTGGTGCAATGGCCCCCCCAAAACATCACAACGCCAGAACTGCCCATGTCAAGGGCCCAAGGGCCCATGGATGCCCATGGTCTCATAAACACATCGGTCGAGCAGTGAAGGTTTTGGGAACAAAAATGCCCGGATCCTCTTGGATGAACATCGAGACCCTTCCTTCTTCCGTCCGGGTCAACGAACGACGAACGCACCGGGAGTCAACGTCGGTTTCTGGCGCCCAGGACATGAAAGACGCCGACGGTGACAAACATTCACGCCGACCAATACAGGGTGCTTTTGCTTAAGATATATGTTTGTCTTTGTCAATCATCCGAAGTAAAAACCTATGAACATGGATGTGTAATGACAATATAACATCGATATGATAATATATATAATAAGTATAATATAATATTAAACGTGTATATATAGAGTATATACTGAAACCAAACAAATTAAAGTATCCAAAGTCTCAAGTCTAGCTTTGATTCTCCGTCTCTCCCTCCATGTCCCTACACTTCGTGAAGCCTCACTCACCACGAAGTGGAAAACAAACTGTGTCTAACAACAACGTTCCAGCAGTCACAAGACGGGGTGCGATCCATGGAGGTAGTCGGGGTGCCCAGAACATCCACTCACTTGGGGACGTTTCACACCACCCCGTATTGTGACTCCTGGTTGATTCTTCCAGTTGGGTCCATGTTCATGCATGTTCAACTGTTCCAAAACAGGGTCCATGTTCGTTCAACTTCTATATGTTCTTCATCCGGAGACGACCGCATGCCGAGGGCTGTCACCGCTCGCGGTCTTCCACCATCTGTCCGAACATCGTCGTTCCACTCGATGACTTGGCCGGCGGAGGTGGACGAACACAGAACCAACGAAGCAGAACGGTGTCGAAGTGGCTCTTGGTGTCAACCGATGGTGTCATTCATCAGATCGGGGCAGACTGGGACCCAAACAGAATCCTATTGGGCGGAAAGACGACTCTACACTAACAAATGGACAGTACTCTGGAAAAGATCTGATACATGATCTGAGAAACCCATCATGATTCGATAAACCCATGATCAACTGCTGTCCTTCTTGTGTTCGCTTCCGCAGCCCTGGGCCATTGACCTTTCACAAGAGTCCGTGGCCTTCCAGCTGCTGTAAGGCCAAGTAGATGTTGGCGCAAATGGTCAAGGACCTCAAGTGGCTTGACTTTGCATGCGCGGCAAGTCAAGTGAGTCAGAGCTACAGTCGCTCGCAAAAAACATACCCAAAAGTGCTGGAAAAGGAAGCCTGAAACACGACTTGTGGATACCTGCAGATTATCCATCGAACAAAAAACACAACAGTTGCTCCCGAGACTAATTTAGGGGATGGTCTGAACCTGGCCCAACAAAGCCACGATGCTGAGTTACTGCATGTTTTCTTTGGCTCGGCATCACTTCCGCAACGATCAGTGTCCATGGCACCATCCGCGACCATTCCGGACTCCCCCAACAACTGGTACCAGCACCAATCTCCAACTCAAAACCCTCTGCAGCGGTTTTTGAAGTGGGAAACTCATGTTGATGATACTGATTCTGATTGATATCTTGGGAATCTGTTGGGAGAGTCGGGAGATTAGAGCAAGACCATGTATAGTATGTTCAACATTTCCATATTTGTTTTGCCTACTTGAGCTAGTTGGGACATGTTGAACTGTCGCCGAGTGTGTTCAATTCGTGTGTTACCTTTGACATTCTCATACAACGGCTTTTCAGGCTCCAAATCGACATGCACAGACCTCTCAGTTTGTTCATCGACTTCTGCGTCTTAACGATCTTGTTTTTTGTTTGTTTCTTCAGCTGGTTTACTTTAGGCATACCGGACCCACGGCCATTTTTTCATGATGTGCACATGTATGTTTTTGTGGACCGACGGCTCTACGGATTTACCGACGGCTCTAACCTTTTTCACCGATAGGGTTTTTCCAACCCCGGACACCGGTCAACTGAGATCCAGCGGTTTCGGACGCGGCAGCAGCGGATTCCAGTGGAAGACTCCACGGCAACAGCGGGCGAAGTCACATATGACAGCCAGCTCTTGCTCAACAGAATGCAACAACAACAACGCGCCGATCGGGTGGCTCGTCGCGCCTCCAATGAC